GGAAGCCATTTCTAAGCAAGCTCCACAAGCTCAGACGTTTGCACTGGACCAGGGGTCATTTAAAATGGAGTGTGGCAAAATGGAAGACTGTTCTGTGGTCAGATGAGTCACGATTTGAAGTTCTTTATGGAACACTGGGACGCCATGTCATCCGGACCAGAGAGGACAAGGATAGCCCAAGTTGTTATCAACGCTCTGTTCTGAAGCCTGCATCACTGATGGTATGGGGCTGCATGAGCGCTTGTGGCATGGGCAGCTTGCATGTCTGGAAAGGCACCATTTATGCAGAGAACTATGTTCAGGTTCCAGAACAACATATGCTCCCATCTAGACGTCATCTCTTTCAGGAAGACCCTGTATTTTTCCACACGGTAATTCCAGACCACATTCTACAGCAATCCCAACATCATGGCTACGTAGGGGAAGGATCCGGGTACTGAAATGGCCAGCCTGCAGTCCAGATCTTTCACCTATAGAGAACATTTGGCACATCATAAAGAGGAAGGTGCCACAAAGAAGGCCCAAGACGATTGAACAGTTAGAGGCCTGTATTAGACATGAATGGGAGAGCATTCCTATTTCTAAACTGGAGAAACTGGTCTCCTCTGTCCCCAGACGTCTGTTGAGTGTTGTAAGAAGAAGGGGGGATGCCACACAGTGGTAAAAATGGACTTGTCCCAACTTTTTTGGGATTTGTTGACACCATGAAATTCGGAAACAACAGATTTTCCCTTAAAATGATACATTCTCTCAGTTTAAACTTTTGATCTGTGATTTGTGTTCTATTCTGAATAAAATATTAGATGATGGCACCTCCACATCATTGCATTCAGTTTTTATTCACAATTTGTTTAGTGTCCCATCTTTTTTGGAATCCCATTTGTATCTACCTACCTACTTACCTACTTACTTACTTACCAACCTACCTTCCTATCTCCCTACCTACTTGCTTACCTACGTACTCTTCATACTTACCTACCTACCTGTTGTTGTTGATGTTCAATGTTTTATGTTATGAGTGCTTAGTGTATATTTAGTTGATGATTTTCTTAGTTCATATCTTAGATGTTATTACTGTTTTTCTTATACATTTTATTGTTGGATGTAACTGGGACCCTGTGTACATAATTTCGCTCCACCACATGTACCACATTAGGTGCGAATGACAATAAAGAAACTCTGACTCTGACTCTGACTGACTACCTACTTACTTACTAACTTGCGTTACCCACTGCTGCCTTTCTGGTTAGCAGGGGTCACAGTGCAAGAGGCGGGGGACACCCTGGACAGGTCTCCAGTCCATCACAGGGACACATAGAGACAAACAAGCCAAACAACCATTCTCTCTCACTCACACTCAGAGACAATTTAGAGTTACCAATCAGACTAACATGCATGTTTTTGGTCCGTGGGAGGAAACCGGAGTACCTGGAGAAAACCCACACATGCACGGAGAGAGCATGCAAACTCCACCCAGGAAGGTCCTAGGCAGAGATTTGACCCTACAACCTTCTTCCTGAGAGGCAACAACTTTTTCAACTGCTCCACCGTGCCACCTACACCAGTTTTTCTTAGGGAAAATCTGTCTCATTCCCAGATACAAGGTGCTCAAATGTCCGAATGTTTGTGTGTTAGGTATGTTGATACGTCGGGTGATGAACGTTTCCCTGGCTGTTCTCATCGGTTATCTGAGCATCCCTGTGGTGATGAATTTGTTGAGTTCCAGGCAGATGATGAACACGTCCTTTGACCCGCTGCGCATCGTCAACACATACGGAGCCTTTGGCAGGTACAGTCAGTCAGAGCATTACCAAGTTTTATTTGCTCTACATCAGTATTGGACTGAAACTCTGTCATAGTGATACACTTAGGATTTAAAAAAAAAATTATGGTTATCAACTGGCCGCGCCAAAGATTACTTTGTTAGTTTCTGCATTTCAGTTATTTTTATAGGAAAATGTCCTGAACATTTTTGTCCCAGTTTCTCAAACGGACTGTCAGCATTGATTTATATTTTGTTTTGAATTAATATGTTTCAAATTGGAACTGTATATTTTTTTTACATCAAGCTGACACCTGTTTAGTCTAAAATGACTGCTGCAGTAAAAGGTCAAACTGAACAGATAGATTCAGGTGCAGCCTCATGACAAACTGAATCATTTATTCCTCTTTAGACCATTCTGCTTCAAGTATCTATCTCTCATTTTTATTTATTTAATTTTATTTAACATTTATTTATACAAGTAGTCTCACTGATTCATGAGCCATACAATATTATCATAAATCACCGAGTCATTTATGTGTGATGTAAATGAAGGTTTATACAGAAATGCAAAAATGTATTAATTCTAAATGAGAATTACAAGAATTTTATTGACAAACTATTTCTGAACTTATGAAGAATTGAGGATTTTATTTTTTAATTGTCCATTTACTGTAGGATGATGGCTCTGTAGTTCATTTATGACCCTTTTATTTAGCCCCACAGTCGGTTGATTAGCCACAAAATAAAGACAGCATCAATTTAAAAGAAAATATCCTGAAATAAACTGAGGTCTGTTATTATTTTATACAACTCTTGGACTCCCGTGGCAGGGTGTGTACAGATATACAAACCTGTTCAGATTTGTCTGAACCTTTTCATCAAAGGAAGAGAAAGCAACAATGGTCACTGAAATAATCTGAAACTGACAGTTATAGAAAGTTATGTATAAATGTTAAGTTATAAAAATATTTTTAAATGATCAAAAAGCAACTAATCAGTCATTGCTTTTAATTTTGGTTCCAAAGAATTTACTAAATGATTTTTTGCACAACCTTTGAGACAACCAAGTGATTTCTGTAACACTCTGAGACTTCTGCACCTGTCCACTGGACTACTGCTCCTCCTGTATACTGGACTACTGCTCCTCCTGTCCACTGGACTACTGCTCCTCCTGTCTACTGAAGTCCTGCTCCTCCTGTCCACTGGACTACTGCTCCTCCTGT